CGTCTCAAAAAAAAAAAAAAAGAACTTTAACTCACTGGGTGCAATGGCTCACACCTGTAATTCTAGCACTCTGGGAAGCCGAGGCAGATGGATTACTTCTGCTCAGGAGTTCGAGACCAGCCTGAGCAAGAGTGAGACTCCCATCTCTACAAAAATAGAAAAAACAAGTTGGGCATTGTGGTGGTCGCCTATAGTCCCAGCCACTTGGGAGGCTGAGGCAAGAGGATCACTTAAGCCTGAGTTTGGGGTTGCGGTGAGCTATGATGCCATGGCACTCTACCTGGGGCAACAGAGTCAGACTCTGTCTCAAAATAAATAAATAAATAAATAAATAAATAAAACAAAACAAAATAGAACTTTAAATCCAGTCTATGTGACTCAAAAGCCCTAAGTGAGGGGAGACTGTTGTCATAGAGCCAGCAATGGTGGTGGTGTCAGTGGTTATGGAGCACAGTGGATGTGCAGGCTCAGGAGCAACATGGAGCGTAGAAATGATGTCCTATGGACTGGGGAGGATCAATCAGAGATGACTCCCAGCTTCTGCCCTGATCATCTAGGTCAGTGGTTCTCAAACTTCCTAATGACAACGTATTTTCATTGTCAAAAAGGGGTCACGACCCATAGGTTGAGAACTGCTGATCTAAGTGGATGGTGAGCCATGTTCACCAAGATGGAGAAAAGGGAGGAGCATGTTTGGAGGAAAAAAATCATTCATCTAAATTTGATACATTCTACTTCAGTTTTAAAAAAAAGATTATTTAAATGACAACAAAATGGAGATGATTCCATCCTTAGAACCCTGGCCCTGTGCCACCTCTCCTTCAATGCCAGCATTCTCACAGTCCCTTCATGCTCCTTTCTAATGTCCTCATGTACGCTGGTTCTTTCTGATCCTTGGGCCCTCTGATACTCAAATCCAAGCAGTTCACATCTGGGAGGACCACCTAGAAGATAATGCCTTTGGCCATACCACCCCCCACCTCACCTGCACTTTCTCCAGGTCTTTCCCAGACTCTCCTTGCTCTGCAGAGGCTCTATAAGGGGAGGGACCACTTGTGTTCCTGAGCTCCTTCGGGTAGAGTTCCCCTGTTCTAGTTCTGAGACCACTTTGTATGTAAGGCCAGCTTCAGGGCATGCAACCTCTGCTGTCACGCAGGGCCCTGAGCTCAGAAGGGCCCACCTTTGGTTTAATGTTCCTCTCTTGCAGTCTCAAAATTCCTAATATATTTAACAAGGAGCCCTACATTTTCATTTTGCACTGGGCTCCCCCAAATTATGTAACTGGTTCTGTACATGTGTCTGCATCATAATGATGTGAGCCACTGAGTGGCAGCCTTCCCTCTTGGTGACAATGAACCTCATTTGTAACTAAGAAGACACACTACTTCAAATTATAGGGAGATAAAAAAGAGCTCACTTCCTTTGTTTCTATGAAATACATAGTTTTATGTGTAGCTCTATGGGCAATAATTTAGGAGGGAAACCCTGGGAGTAGAATACCAAAATAACAATTTATGCACCATTAACTGTGGCTAATTGTTCTTTTGCAGCTTAGAGCGGAGGCACATTTGAGTTGCTTTAGCACTCAATGTTACAGGTAGGGAGGTGGGTCTGCTTAAATACAACCTAGGGCCCCTGGGGTAGGCAGAGGGAGTGGGAGCAATTTAATACAAGTTCAGTGTCTGAAATCCAACATGGTCTAAAATCTGAAAGTTTCTGAGCACTGACATGACACTCGAAGGAAATGCTCAGTGAAGCATTTTGTATTTCAGATTTTCAGATTAGAAATGCTGAACTGGTAAGTATAATGCAAATATTCCAAATCCCAAACCAACGATCCAAAATCTGAAACACTTAAAAGGTCCCAAACATTTTTGGATACAGGATATTTATCCTGTAATCCCAGCTTAGGTTCTGAAGCATAAAAGCATAGTAGCATCCAAATACTTGGTTTGACATGGTTGAAAAAAAAGAACCCTTTTGTTTCTTCCCCCTTTTTGCCCTGACAGAAAGCCATACAAAGACGTGCCTGGGACTATCAGAACCCTCAAGAGAAAGGTTTGTTGGTGTGGTCCCTGCTCCCCCTAGAGCAGAGGTATCCAACCTTTTTTCTTTTCTGCCACACATTAGAAAAATAAGTGTTGTCTTCGGTCACACATTAAATACACAAACACTGATAGGTCTCATGAGTGGGAAACTTGAGACTAGAAGACAGGAAGAGAGCAGAGGGAGTTCCTCCTTCCTGGTTCTTGGTGTTCCAGTCTGTGTTGCTCCAGCATTGGCTCCTTACCATGAAGGCAGCACTTAGTTCAGTTTCTACCCTCTTCCCAACTCCCAGAGTTGCAATCCAACTCTTCCCAACCAGGTTGTACCTGTGCTAGGCAGAGCAATGGCCCTCCAGAGATGTCCACATTCTAATTCCTGGGACCTGTCAAATATTATTCAACACTGCAAAAGAGATTTTGCAGATGTGATTAAGGTGAGGACCTTGCGATGGGAGATTATCCTGAGTAATCTGTCTGGGCTCAGTGTTATCATAAGAATCTTTAAAAGTGAAAGACAAGGGCTCAGCACCCATAGTTCAGTGGTTAGGGCACTGGCCACATACAGTGGGGCTGGCGGATTTGAACCCAGCCTGGGCCTGCTAAAAACAACAATAACAACTACAGCCAAAAACATAGCCAGGTGTTGTGGTGGACGCCTGTAGTCCAAGCTACTTGGGAGGCCGAGGCAAGAGAAATGCTTCAGCCCAAGAGTTTGAGGTTGCTGTGAGCTGTGACACTATGGTACTCTACGGAGGGCAACATAGTAAGACTCTGTCTCAAAAAAATAATAATAATAATCATAATAAAAATTAGAAAGCAGAAGAGGAAAGCCGAAGAGTCACTGTTAGAGTGATGAGACATTTGAAGAATTCAACTTGCTAGTGCTGGCTTTGAAGAGAAAGGAAAGAGTTATAAGTTAAAGAATGTAGGTGACCTAATAAGGGAGTTTATCTGCAACCTCAAGATGAGTGTGATTAAGCACGGCAAGATGTGTTTCCCCTAGCTTTGAAAGGTTCTGATTTGCTGGGAGTACTGGTGTTCTGGGAAGCAGGCCCTGAGGCCAGCCTGGTTTATTGTCAAGAAACTTTAATCACATCCTGCAACTGATCTGAGAGCTTTCTTTTTACCTTGCACAATACAATGTGAGCTTTGCCTAGCTGGATTATTGGTAAATTGGAATGAGCAACAGTGACCTTCTTTTTCTTTGCTTTTGAGAGTTTTGCCCATTAAATATACTATTCTCTAGATCCATGCAATTCAGTATTATGGAAATAAAAAGCTTTTATCAAACATCTGTTTTACAATTTGGAGATTAGTTCTCTTATTTCATAATTTAAAATTACAGAAAAAAACAAAACATCTATTGTTATCTACAGAAAACAATAAAATTTCTGTGACTTCTATAGAGCCTATAACTAAGAACAGTGGGCCTAAGACGTCCAGAAATTTCATAAATAACTTTAAGAAGTATTTCACTGGATATCAATAATCAATCAATTATTCTGGGATTGATTTTTATTTATTTATTCCATTTTTTTATTTTTTGTTACCTTTCAAGACAGAGTCCCACTATGTTGCCCTGGGTAGAGTGCATCACAGCTCACAGCAACCTCAAACTCTTGAGCTTAAGCAATTCTCTTACCTCAGTCTCCCAAGCAGCTGGGACTACAGGCTCCCGCCACAAGGCCTGGCTATTTTTTGTTTGTTTGTTTGTTTAGCAGGCTGGGCCAGATCCCAACCCACCAGCCCCAGTGCATGTGGCTGGTACCCTAACTGCTGTGCTACAGACGCTGAGCCGATTTTTATTCATTAATACTTTGAGAACAGAGTTTGATTGAGCAGGGGCATGGAAGAACTTTCTGCAGTGATAGTCATAGTTTATAACTTGATACAGGATACGGATGTGAATACAATTGTCGAAACAAAGACTAATTATAACAGCAAATTATAGTGATCAAAGTCACCTCGAATCAGAGTTCAGTCCCTGCCACGCTCACCCGTCCTGAGGCTTTCGTGAGGATTTCATCTGCCCGCCAGCCAGCTGATTGGAACATTGCCTTCACTGCAGAGGGCTGGGCTGAGAGAAAAAGATGTCTTGTTTCCCAAAGCTGTGGGACCTGGAAAATACAGGGGATATAGTGGTAGAACAGTGGAAAATGAGAAACATACTAGTGAAGCTGTGTAATAAATAGTACCGAACATAAGACCCATTCTATACTTGGGTATTTTATTTTTCTTCTAGCAACATGCTAAAAAAAACATTTTTGCAGGTGGATCAGAGCAGCAGTGCCCAATGGGTGGTGAGGGGGGACCCTAAAGGCTCTGAGACTCTTTCCGAAGGTCATGAGGTCTAAACTATTTTCATAATAATAATAATCAGTTAATTGTCTTTTCACTTGCTTTTTCTTACAAATGTACAGTGGAGTTTCCAAAGGCTGAAAGACTTAAGGGATTTTTAACAAATTAAATGCAGAGGCAGGTTTGAGAATCCAGCTGTCTTATTTTAAACCAGACATTAAAGAAATCTGCAAAGATATAAAAATGTCACTCTTTCTTGCTGTCATTGGATCTGGGGGGAAAAAAGGAAAAAATGTCATTCTTCTCACTAATTTTTTGTTTTGAACAACAGTTATTTTTCATAAAGACGTTTTTATCTTAATGTATGATGAACTTATTGTTATTTTTAAATGAGTTAAATATTTAAAAAAATTTCCATTTCAGTTTCTAATATGGTAAAGTTTGATAGCTGTTACATTAATAAAGGCTCAGTAATTTTTAATTAGATTTTGTAAAAATTAAGCATAATTTACACACAGTAAAATGCAGAAATCTTAAAAACACAACTTGATTAATTTTTATATATGTATACATCATGAAACCACCTAATTCAAGATATAGACCATTTCCTTTATCCTGGAGGGACCCTTCTGCTTCATTCAGTTAATCCCTAATCCATCGGAATAACCATCATTCTGACATTTATTATCATATATTTCATTTTGTTTGTTTTGAGTGTTATGCAAGTAGAATCACGAAGTATGTGCTCTTTTGTGTTGGGCTTTTTCTCTCAGTATGAAGTTTTGGGGATTCATCTATGTTGTTCTGTATATCAGCACTCTGCTCATTTTTATTGCTATTGGTAGTCTTCCATTGTGTAATATATCACAAACTGTTTTCTTTGTTTGTTGATGGACATTTGGATTTGTTCAATTTATTAGGGATAAAGCTACTGTGAACATTCTTGCACAAGTCTTTCAGTGGATGTAGGAATTAATTTTTCTTGAGCATCTGCATGGGTGTGGAATTGCTGAGTCCTACAGTAGGTGTATGTTTGGCTTTAAAAGAAACTGCCAAATAATAATGTGTGAGAATTACAGTTACTCCTCATCCACAGCAACATTGGATAATGACAGTTTTAACATTTTTAGCCATTCTGCTGAATGTGTAAGGTATCTCAACTATGATTTTAATTTGCATTTCTTTGATAGTATTCTGAGTATATTTTATTATTACATATGTTTATTAGTCATTTGAATACTTCTTTTGTGTAATGCTTGTTTAAGTCTTTTGCTAATTTTAAAATTGATTGTATTTTGCTCATTGATTTGTAAGAGTTTTTTTGTATACTCTGTGTATGATTTATTCATCAGTCCATAGCTTGTCTATTTGCTTTTGTGAGGATGACTTGATCAGATTGCCTTAATTCTAATTAAGTCTAATTTATCAATTTTTCTTTTTAGGTCTACCGAGTATTTCGATCTGATTAGGCAATCTTTACTTGCTCCAATGTCAGGAAAATAGTCTTTTATTTTTATTTGGAAGTTGGATTTCTTTAGCTTTTTCTTTCTTTCTTTCTTTTTTTTTTTTGTTGCAGTTTTTGGCTGGGGCTGGGTTTGAACACACTACCTCTGGTATATGGGGTTGGCGCCCTACTCCTTGAGCCACAGTTGCTGCCCTATATTAGCTTTTGAATTTAGCTCTATGATACAACTTAGAAGCAAATTTCTGTGTGTAGTTTGAGTTAAGGTTCATTTTTTTCCATATACATCTCGTTATCCCAATACATTTTTTTTTTTTTTTGCAGTTTTTGGCCGGGGCTGGGTTTGAACTTGCCACCTCCGGCATATGGGCCAGTGCCCTACTCCTTTGAGCCATAGGCGCTGCCCCCCAATACATTTATTAAAAGATCATCTTCCCCTATGTAATTAGAGTGGCACCTTTGATGTGAACTGAGAAAGCATGTATCTGTGAGTCTATTTCTGGACTCTTTATTCAGTTCCATTTGTATATTTGTTTACCTTTCTTCCAGGTACCCTTTTTTAAATTTTGTAGCTTCATCGTAAAACTTGAAACCTGGTGATGAAGTCTTTCAACCTGTTTTCTTCATCAAGATTTCCCAGATAGTCTAGTTCCTTTGTACATAAATACACAGTTTGGCTCAGACATATATAAAGAATTTCTGAGACTAAAAAGTTTGAGAGGCAGTGCTAATTTAAAGCATGGCTTCAAAGCCAGAAGCCTAGGATCAAATCTTAGTTCAATCATTTATTACCTATGTGACATTGGCAAATAATGTAATTTTTTTGTGTCTCTATTTCCTCATCTTTAAATTGCAACAATGATAGTACATGTAACACAGAGTTATGCTTGTCAAATATTAAGCATTACGTAAATGTTTTATGTTTGTTAAAAGGGACAAGCACACAAATTTTTTAAAAAATACAAAGTCAAAGGAATACAAAGTCTAACAAATCAGAAGGGAAATATGTAATTTTTCACAATTTCAGGGTATTTAGAATCCAAGTATATCAGCTTTATATAAAAATAAAAATTGTCCAGGATTGGTGGCTCATATCTATAATTTCCACTAGTTGGGAGGCTAAGGAGGCAAGATTGCTTGAGCCCAGGTGTTCCAGACTAATCTGGGCAACACAGCAAGACTTCATTTCTTTCTTTCTTTTTTTTTTTTTATGAGACAGAGCCTCAAGCTGTCCCCCTGGGTAGAGTGCCATGGCTTCACAGCTCACAGCAACCTCCAACTCTTGGGCTCAAGCAAGTCTCCTGCCTCTGCCTCCCAAGTAGCTGGGACCACAGGCACCTGCCACAACGCCCGGCTATTTTTTGGTTGCAGCCATCATTGCTGTTTGGCGGGCCGGGCTGGATTCGAACCCACCACCTTAGGTATATGTGGCTGGCGCCTTAGCCACTTGAGCCACAGGCGCCGAGCCTAAGACTTCATTTCTAAAAGACAAAGAAACAAACAACTGGTAATCAAGATCAGAAAAAGGGTAAGGATAGACATACAGATCCATGGAACTGGACAGAGAGGCCAGAAATCAACTCATACATATATGGTCAATTAATAAAGTGCTAACATAACTCAATGGAAAAAAGGAAAGTCTTCTATAAAATAGTACGGGACCCAGGTGTATTGTCTCATGCCTGTAATCCCAACACTTCGGGAGGCTGAGACTGGTAGAGCACTTGATCCCAGGAGTTTGAGGCCAGCCTAAGCAACATAATAAGACCCTATCTCTACAAAATATTGAAAAAATTAGCCAGGCACGGTGCCATGTGCCTGTTCTAGCTACTTGGGAGGCTGAGGCAAGAGGATGGCTTTAGTCCAGGAGTTCAAGATTGTAGTGTACTCTACCTAGGTGACAGAGTGACACCTGTCTCAAAAAACAAAGCAAACAAACAACCCCTCACCAAAACTCAGCATACAGGTAACTTATTTTAACACTATTAAAGCCATATATGAGGCTGGATGCAGTGGCTCATGCTTATAATCCTAGCACTCTGGGAAGCTGAGGTGGGTAGATTTACCTGAGCTCACAGGTTAGAGACCAGCCTGGCCCAGAGCAAGACCTCATCTCTGAAAAAATATAGCCAGGTGTTGTGGTGGGCACCTGTAGTCCCAGCTACTTGGGAAGCTAAGGCAAGAGAATTGCTTCAGCCCAAGAGTTTGAGGTTGCTGTGAGCTGTAATGCCATGGCACTCTACCAAGGGCTACAAAGTGAGACTCTGTCTCAAAAATAAATAAATAAATAAATAAATAAATAAATAAATAAATAAATTAAAGCCATGTATGATAGGCCTACAGCAAGTATCATACTGAATGGGGAAAAAATAAAGACCTTTCCTCTAAGATCTGGAACAAGGTAAGGATGCTCACTTTCACCAATGTTATTCAACATAGTACAGGAAGTTCTAGCTAGAGCAATCAGACAAGAGAACGAAATAAAGAACATCCAAATTAGAAAGGAAGAAGTCAAATTATCTTTGTTTGCAAAGGATCAAAGGATTTTATATCTAGAGAAACCTAAGGACTCCTCAGAAGACCAATTATAACTGATAAACAAATTCAGTAAAATTCCAGGATACAAAATCAACAAACAAACATCAGTGGCATTTCTACTTGCCAACAGTAAACAATCTGTAAAAGAAACCAAGAAGGTAATCCCATTTACAGTAGCTAACGATAAAATAAAAATACATATGAATAAACTGAATTGAAGAAGTAAAGGATCTCTATAATGAAAACTATGAAATACAACGAAAGAAGTTGAAAAGGACATAAAGAAGGGAAAGATATTCCATGTTCATAGGTTAGAGGAATCAATATTGTTAAAATGTCCATATTACTCAAAACATTCTACAAATTCAATGCAATCCCCTTCAAAATACCAATGACATTCTTCACAGAAATAGAAAAAATAATCCTAAACCTTATGTGGAACCACAAAAGACCAAGAATAGCCAAAACTATTCTGAACAAAAAGAACAAAACTGGAGGAATCAAATTACCTGCCTTCAAATTATACTACAGAGTTGTAATAGCCAAACCAGTATGATATTGGCATAAAAAGGGCCACTCAGACCAATGGAACAGACGGGCATACCCAGAAAAAAAATCTGCACATCTGTGAGTGCCAAGACATATAGTAGAAAAGGATAGTTTATTCAATAAATGGGAAAATTGGATATCCATATGTAGAAGAATAAAACTAGACTCCTATCTCTTGCCATGTACAAAAATCAAATTGAAATGGATTAAAGAGTTAAATCTAAGATCTGAAACTATGAAACTACTAAAAGAAAGCACTAGGAAAGCTTT